GTGGGGTGGGTGGTTTTTGGTCATTTGGTGGATTATGGATCTTTGTCATCATTTAGGGGGGTTGATTATTATAAATTGTTACTGGTCATGATCAGGGAGAAAGCTAAACAAAGGAGATTAGATTCAGAGACCTCTTTCTGAAAGGAAAAGGGAGGGGATATAGTATAGAAATTATGGATGAAAGAGTGGATTGTTGAGTCCACTTTTGAACATTTTACATTGGTATGAATTTTTATATATTGGTACAAATTTAAGGTTATTTTTGTTATACTGTATATATGTTTCTACTCTTGTTTAAGGTATTGTACCTATGCAACTCATTTTAAAAGACTGTAAAATTTTTGTCTTTGAAAGCTATTTATGATATTAAGAAATACAGATTAGTAGTCATCTATAACAATCCTAACTCTCTGGAGGGGAAGGCAAGAAGATCAGGCCAGCCTAAGCTGTGTAGCAAGATCTTGTCATAGACAGACAGAGAGAAGCAAATGTTTTTGTTTCATCTGTGACGATTCTATCAACCGTTAATGTTTATTGCTTACATCTAACTCATCTGAGGTTATGAAAACAGTGTCTGTCTGTCTGTCTGTTTCTGAGACAGGTGTACCATTACCTCCCAGCTCTATACCAGGCCTTAACAAGATAAAGATTTATTTTAATTAAAAAATTTATGTGTGGGGCTGGAAAGATGGCTCAGTGATTAAGAGCACTGACTGCTCTTCTAGAGGACCTGGGTTCAATTCCCTGCACCCACATGGCAGCTCAGGTCCATCTGCAGCTCCAGTCCCAGGGGATCTGATGCTTTCTTCTGACCTCCATGGGTACTAGGTACATATGTGGTACATAGACATACATGCAGGCAAAACACCCAACACATAATAAAATAAAATAAATATGTGTATGGAGTACTACTCAGTGGTAAGACACAATGACATGCTAAAATTTGCAGGCAAATGGGCAGAACTAGAAAAAAAACATCCTGAGCGAGGTAACCCAAAACCAGAAAGATAAATATAGGATATACTCACTCATAAGTGGATACCAAGCATAAATCAAAAGATACCTAGCCTACAAACCATAACCCCAGAAAGCAGATGCAGAAATCCACAACTAACTAATGGGCCAAGCTCCTGGAGTACAGTCAAAGTGAGGGAGGAGCAAAAATATGAACAAAGGAGTCAAGACCATGATGGGGAAACCCACAGAATCAGCTTACCTGAGATAGTGAGAGATCATTGACTCAGGTTTGATAAATGAGGAACCAGAGTAAGACCAAACTAGACTCCATTAATATAGGTGACAATGGTGTGGCTGGGACAATATATGAGGCCACTGGCAGTGTGTCCAAGACCTAATACTAATGTACAAAATGACTTAGTGGAGTCCATTCTATATGGAGAGACACCTTGCCCAGATTCACACAGGGGTGTGGGGGTGGAGAAGTGCCTGGTCCTGCCTCAAGGAGATGATGGGACAGACTTGGTAGACTTCCTAGGGGAGGCCTTACCCTCTCCGTGGAGCAGATGGGAGAAGGGAGGAGTAGAGGGAGTGGGAGGAGAGGAGGGAGGGGGAACTGGGATTGAAATGTAAAAAGTAAATTAATAAACTGCAAAAATATGTGTATGAATGTTTGCCTGCATGCATGCATGTATGTATGTATGTATGTATGCATATATGTATGTATGTACACCATGTACATTTCTGATGTCTGATGAAGCCAGAGAGGGCAATGGATCTCCTGAAACTGGAATTACTGATGGTTGGTAGCTATCATGTTGGTGCTGGGGATTAAACCTGGGTCCTATGCAAGAGCAACCAGTGGTCTTAACCAATGAGTCATTTCTCCAGCCTTCAGGACCCCCTTTTTAAAAAAGACTTAATTCCACATTGTTTTGTCAGCTTTCCCATTTATAGATACTTAGGATGATTCTATATCTTGGCTACTGTGAATAATGTACATGGTTTGTATTTTTTCTAATTTTAAAAAATTTTCATTTGTTTTTTGAGACAGGGTCTTTGTGTAGTCCTAGTCCTGGCTATCCTGGAACTCACTCTGTAGATCAGGCTGGCCTCAAACTCACAGAGATCCACCTGTGTCCACCTCTTGAGTGCTGGGATTAAAGGTGTGTGCCACCACCCCCAGCTGGTTTTTATTTTTATTGAGGCTACATTTCCCCATCTCTGCCAAGTAAACCCTCCTTAAGTTGATTCCTTTGTTCTTTGAAGATTTATTTTTAGCTGTGTGTGTGTATGTATGTACATGTGTGTATATTGTATGTATATTTATATAAGAATCTATATGTATTTGTGTGTGCATATGTGTATGGGTGTGTGTATATGTGTCTGTATGTGTGTGTATGTGCATGCCCATACATGAGTGAGGTGCCAAAGGAGACTGGAGGAGGGCATTGTATTCCTTGGTGCTGGAGTCACAGGTGACTGTGAGACGCCCACATGATTGTTGAGAACTGAACTCGGGTCCTCTGGGAGAGCAGCAAGTGCTTTTAACAGTTGAGTCATCTCTCCAGCTCCTCCTTTGTTCTTTTGATGGGACCCATAATGCTTTTCTCAAGTGCAGCAAAATATTCCAGGTATATTTTGTATATTTGCTTTAAGCCAAGAAGTCGTGACTTCCATGCGACTTTGGGGAATTGGACTCAGAGGTTACAGACATGTGGCCGTTGCAATCAGTGTTCTGGCTGCTCAATATTTCTATGCTTGTTCATTGGACAGGGATGAAAATAGTGTTGCTAGGTGTGGAATGACACTTTGGTATTCTAGAGGCTGAGGCAGGAGGATCAATGAAAGCTTGAGACCATTCTGGGATACATGGTGATTTCCAGGTCAGCCTGGGTTATATATAGCATGAGACTGTCTCAAAGAGCACCTCCCCCAGTTATGAGCTCAAATTGGGATTGGAGAATTCTGACTTAGCCTTACACTTCTTTTCTCTGCCTATGTGACCCAGGAGAACAGTCTGTAGTTCTTGCTGTCCTCAGGCTGTTTCACACACAGTCTGCCCCACAGCTCCCTTTCAAGTCATTGAAAAGAGTTCCAATGTGTGTGGGTGTGGTTAAAGCCACTGGCCCACATACGATTTACCATCTTCATCTCACCTCATTTCCTTTCTCATTTTTTTTGAAAATGGGTCTTATTATGTAACTCATGCTGCTCTCAGATTCACAGTCCTCCTACCCAAGCCTCTTGAGTGCTAGCATTATAAATGTGCGTGACTATGCCTGGCTAATTTGGGTTCTTTAATTTTTAGGGGTTGCTTTCCAAGTTTTGACATATACGTGTATATATGTCATGTCATATATACACGTGTGTGTATTAAAATTTATGTGTGTATGTCTGGGGTGTGTGAGCACGTATGTGTGGGTGCCTGAGAAGCTCAGAGGTGTCAAATCCTTTGGAGCTGGAGTTTCAGGCAGCTGTGAGTCTGACATGATCGCTGGGAACTGAACCTGGGTCTTCTGCAAGAGAAGTATGCACTCTTAGCCACTGAACCATCTCTCTAGATCCTGCTTTTTGTATTAGGTACAAATATTGAAGTGGTCCCCAAATGAACTTTCAAATTTGAGCAACACTGGAGTGGCCTCAATTCACAACTGTCCCCCGTCTACCCACAGACATCCACTGGAGAATTTCTGCCCTTTAAAGCAGGTGTCTCTTGTGGCTTCTCCTCTCTCCCGCTCACTTCTCAATAGTGGGAGATTCTGGGTTGCTCAAGGTCACTGAAGATAGAAACAGGAGACGCCAAAGCCAGAGGCAAGAACATCACGCCTGAGGAACAGGGACATGCCAATGGGCAGAAGCAGTGGGGCAGAGGGGACAAAGCCATCAAGTTATGGCCTAAGGCACCTGTATTTACCGAATTTCAAGTGAGATTAACCAGGATGGAGCAGGAGCTTCCAAGTTAGGGTGAGTCAGTTTGGACAGAATAGTTAGCCATGGTGCGTACTGACTGAGCACTCGGAGTAGGGCTTAAGTGCGTCTTTGCAGTGCTGGGATTAAATCCAGGCTTTCATATGCTTGATGGATACTTTACCTCTGAGCTGCACCCCAGCCCTGACATGGGAGATTGTTTATGTTAACTAACAGAGGGCGGCAGCATTCCTGGTTTGGGATCTGCACTATGGAGGAGCAGAGTTATTGAGTGTACCAGCATGCACACAGGCCTTCTTTCCTTCCTTTCTTTTTTGACTTGGATATGGTTACCTGCTTCAAGTTCCTGCCTTGACTTTCCCATGCTCACAGACTATAACTCCAACTGGAAGCCCTCAAGCGCCCTCCTCCTCAAAGTGTTTTTTTGTTAGGTAGCTTATTAAAACAACAAAATGGAACAAGGACACCATTAATTTCTGTCTTCTGATTTTGTTTTAGTCTTTGGTGGAAGCCATGGGTAGCAGAGCCTCCACCCCTGATAACAACTTCACTGAGGTTTGTATGTGCCAAACTTACCTGGTAATACCAGAGAAACACATGCGGGTGTCTTATATCAACGATATTGCAATAAAGCTTTTCTAAGACTGGAATCCAGGGCTATGCGGTTGTCACATGGACAGAGAAAGGCTGTGTAGTCTGAGATTGCTGAATTCTTGTGAGTGCTAAAATGTTGACATCTCCACTAATGAATGAGTAAATTGATGGCAATGCATGGATAAGTGATTTGTTTTAGGCTGCACAACTGAAAAATGTCAGAGTAATTTGTGTACTGGTCTCACATATTGACCAGCTTCCATTTTGCCAGTACTCTGGCTGGCTGTACAGGGGCCCTTTCCTTAACATCCACGAGAGAGCCTTTCCTTCTTAGCCTTTCTTTCCCATTGCCACAGGGAAAGTCCATCAAATGAGAGTCCCGGAGGGGGTCTGATGCTCGGTACTTGCTGAGCTGGGGCTTGCTCTATCCTGGCATCTAAACTTAAAATTCCATCCCTCTCCAGCACTGTCCTCCGGGGGATTCCTGCAAGAATGATAACACTACACAAACTGGAAGTGACTTAACAGTGTTTATTATCAGTTTGCTGGCAGAACAGTTATGTCTTATTTTAATGTCTGTGGAGGTAGAGAGGAGCCTGACACCCTAGGAGAAAGACCCACTTCCCTGCCCATCTGCTTCCCTGCTGCAGTGGGAGTGCTGGCCACGTCTAAGATGGTCCAGGTCCGGGCTGAGGGACAGCCCTGGAAGAACCCCTCATTGGTTTCATGTGCCTCTTGGTGGAAACAGTACTGCCCAAGCCACGTCTCCCAGTCCTAGAGGTGACAAACTTCACAGGGGAGGCATTTGGGACAATGGCAGAGTTGATACCAAGCAAAGGGCTGGCATCTTGGGCTTCGGAGAGTGCAGCTAAGGCGTGCTTTCTTTGCGTCTTTTCTCTGGAACTCTTTTCACTCTTCAGCATCTCCACGATGTCCTTGTCAGGTATGTGGGGTATTTCATGTCGCAGGTAGCTTTTAATCAGTTCAGTCACTTTGGGGCCAACACAGCATTTTTTGGATTTGCAGGTCTGTATCTCAATTTCCTGGGCAAAGCAGTTGTCTTTGCATTTCCCAAAGCCCATTAAACATCTTTTCATGGCCACAAATGCTACATGGGGGAGGAAGAGAAAGCACTGGGTCAAGGTTAATCATTAGATGATGTTCAGACTGCTGGTGGGAGAGGGTTAGAATGAGAGGAGTTTGTTGACCTTCGGGAACAGTGTTTGATGACGGTGGCGCCTTGGGTGCAGACCTGGAAAGTCACTGTACACTGTGGAGCCCAAAGGAAACCTCTTGTTCAGTCTCCTTTACTTGAGTAACTTTAAAAATCAGAGAGTGGAGGGGCTTGGTGGTGCATGCCTTTAATCCCAGCACTTGGGAGGCAAAGACAGGGAGATTTCTATGAATTTGAGGCCAGTCTGGTTTACATAGTAAGTTCCAGGCTAGCCCTGTTTCAAATTTAAAAACATCCAAGGATGGGCTAGGGAGATAGCTCAGTTGGCAAAGTGCCCTGAAAGCATAAGGAAGTGAGCTCAATACTAAGAATCTATCTCCAAAGACAGGTGTGGTAGTATGTGTGGGGATACAGAGGAGGACAAGTCCCTGGGGTTCACTGGCCAGCCAGCCTAACCTGATTGGTGAGCCTGTCTTAAAAAAACAAGAGGATGAGTCAGGCTACGGTGGTTCGGCCTTTAATCCCAGCACTAGGGAGGTAGAGGCAGGTGGATCTCTGTGAGTTTGAGGCCAGCCTGGTCTATGTAGAGTTACAGGCCAGCCAGGGCTACACAGAGAAGCCTTGTCTTAAGAAGAACACAAAACAACAAAAACAAGGTGAATGTAATCTGAGGATACCACACACACACACACACACACACACACACACACACTTGCATGCACACAGCATGCACACCAAGGCTATAAAGAGAAAGGAAAGGTATAAAGCCCAAGTACTCCATTTCAGAATCTCCCTCCCTCCCTCCCTCCCTTCTCCCTCCCTCCCTTTCTCCCTCCCTCCCTCTCTCCCTCCCCTTCCTTTCTGTTTGGTGATACAGGGCTTTGGGGCAATCACTTTCCCTCTGAGCTACATCTCCAGCCCTAAGACAGCGTTACTCTGACTTCCTATCTTGCATCATCTACACCAGCAGAGCCTTCCATCCCCCTCTATAATCCTACAAAATACCAATGTCAACTAAACCTGCCATACACCTAATCCAGGAAAGAATTACAATTACTATTTAACATATGCTAGCTGTGTACATTAGTGAATTCAGCGTGAGATTTCAGCACGTGCATTCAGTGTGTGCTGATCAAAGCAAGCCTTCCCCTGTCCAAGCAAGGGGCAGTCAGTGGTATATTCAGATTCACTGTTTCTTTTAGCTTCCACATGAGATGGTATTCAGTACTCTTCTCTCTGTGTGGTCACGGAGAAGAACGAAATGATAATTTGCAAGAAAATAAGTGGAATGGAGGGACTTATATTAAGTAAGATAAACCAAGAAAGAATTTTAAAACAAAATTAATAGGGCTTTGACCTTCCTGTCAATCGCTGGACCTGTTGTTCCTGGGACTTGGCATTCTGTCGCTCACTGCATGTAGATACTCTGTCCATCAGAGGTCTTTGCTACTGTAGCTTCTCTGTTATTATCTCTAGCTCAGTTCCCCACTGGTCTTCCTCTTCATCTGTGGAAAGTCCCATCCCAATGTCTCACTGTTTTCCCTCAATTAAGAGAACTTTTCTTCCTCTATTACCCACCTTATCAATTTTATGTATATCGGAAGTGATTTATTTAGCATCAGATAATTTCCAAAGATTATAGCGCCCATAACAACCTGCACAAGATTGTCTACCAACATCCTTCTGCTCTCCCTGAGAATCTTTAGGTGGCTGAAGAATGGCTGAAGAATGGCTGAAGAAAGAGAGAGATTTTCTTCTATGGTGTAGCCACTGATAAGTTGCCCATACTCCTATAAATAGCCCATGGCCCATCCTTCTGAAAGCAAACCTAATAAAACTCACTGTGACACCAAAAAAAAAAAAAAAAGAAGAAAGGGGACTTTAGGGAGCAGAGAGGAGTGGGGATAAGCAGGAGTGGGAGGGGTAAAAGAGGGTAGGGAGTGGATATGGTAAAATACCCTACATACATATGAAGTCACAATGGAATCCAATTATTATATATAATGAATATGTTAATAAAACATGGTTTCAAAGGCTATTTTCACATATGTATTTGTTTTGTTATTCTCATACATCTTTACATTGTTCTTTCTCCCAAGGGGCACAAAACACAAACATTTTAGGACTAGAAACAGTCGCATTGATTTGTCCATTACACTGCTGTCAGTTTTGAAGCTCGACATGTTTAAGTGGCTTGCCTGTCTATGAAAACATTACAAACATTTTTGACTGTTTCCTTTGACTCATTATGATTACTCCAAGTAGCTGGGTGTTTCTTGTTCACAGAAACAAGCCTCCATCTTTTTCCTTCCTTTTCAAGGCTCTGTCCTGTCATGTGCTATCATGTGTCCCCAGACACCCTCGTGGTAGTCGGAAGGTTTCCAGGAAGAAAGAGACTGAGAGAAATCATAAAACTCCGGAAAAGCTGACATGGAGACATAGACCTGCTTATTAAATCCTGAGAAGGTTTTAGAACACAGAGGCTGGGATTTCATCCTTTGTACACAGAAATCTGTGCCCACTGAACCTTTGCGTGAAGAGATGGTTTTGAATGGGGCTGGGGAGAAAGCTCAGGGGGTAAAACACTTGGTGTGCAAGCATGAGGACCCAAGTCCTGCTCTGTAAAGTCCATGTAAATCCAGATGCAGTGGTGCAGGCCTCTGGAATCCCAGTGTCCTACAGTGCAACAGGAGGTGGAGACAGGAGAATTCTCAGACGCCTATGGGCCAGCTAGCTGGTGCACACAGTGACAACCAAAGACCCCTGTCTCAAACAAGACTGACACCGATGTCCTCTACATTCATGAGCCTGTATATTCTCTCTCTCTCACACACACACCACACCGTATTAGTGCCCCCCATACCACACTGTATTAGCCTCTCTCTCTCTCTCTCTCTCTCTCTCTCTCTCTCTCTCTCTCTCTCTCTCTCTCTCTCTCTCACACACACACACACACACACACACACGCACACAGATTTTAGAAATATAAGGATGATTAAGTCAGAAATAGTACTCACATACATACAAACACAGAGTAGGAGAGCTGCATAATATGCCAGACAGTTTCTGAATATACAAACAACACCACACTCTCCTTGTGACTCCTTGGCATCTCCATCAGACACAGTCTAGGGGCTGGGTCAGCTTTCTAGCATCTCTTTTGGGCATGTCCTCTTTCAGCATCTCTTAGGGGTCCTAGCACCATGGGCAGCCCAGTCCTGCTTCCTCACATCAACCACCCCCAAACCTAGGAACCGACTTTACCTGATTTCACCTGATACTGCAGCATGAGGCTGGCAACGAGAGGAAAAAGGAGCTTCATGGCTGGGTGGTAGCAGCGAAGCCTTGGACCTGGGTTGGTGTTCTTGAGCTCTGGCCTTTATTGGACTCTTATGGCCTTGGGCCATGAGCAGTGAAGTGCAGCTAAAACAGGTCTGCATGCTGCTCAGAGGAGCTGAATTTTCTCTGATTCTACTTGATAAGTTTGTCAGCAAATGTGTATTTGTTGCTACTCTTTGTGTTGGGAACACAATATATCTAAGACAAGAAAGAAAGGATGCTCTTCATACTACTTGTTCTTTTATTTGAAAGGTTTTGGTTTTCTTTTTAACCATACATGTATGTGTCTGTGGGCATGTGCAGGTACATGTGCATGAGTGCAGTGGCCTCAGAGGCCGGGAGAGGACATTGGATCCTCTGGAGCTCACTTTAAAAGTGGGTGTGAGTTGTGGGTGCTGGGAACAGATCTCCTGTTCTCTGCAGCACAGAATGAGCTCTTAACCATTGAGCTGTCTCTCCAGCTCCACACTTCCTGCTATTAACACCGGGACAGGGCAAGTGTAGCTTTATCCGGAGCTCCAGAGAGAGGAAGCAGGCTGGAGAGGAGATGGACCTAGGCACTTCAAATAGGGAGCTCTGCTTTTCAAGTCTAGGCCTGCAGATGTTTGTGGAAGGACACAGTTGCTTCCACAGCTAATGTGTGGAAGGCCACACATTCCCCAGGAGCTGAATGTTAGATGATTGCTATGATTAAGATTACGCATTACTCATTGTCTGAGCATTGTTTAGACAGCAACAAATGCGAATCACTGACTTCTTAGATTTGACTGCATCTTCCATATTTGAAAGGAGCCCGATCTGGCTATTGGCAAGACCCAATTTTCCACTCTCAGTCTCATAACTCAGTTTCTTCTGTTCAAAATACTTACCACAAAGTTCATTTCTTCTACAAAAAGTATGCAATTAGGACTAGAGAGATGGCTCAGAGGTTACAAACGAATACTGCTCTTCCAGAGGACTCAGGTACAAATCTCAGCATCCACATGGCAACTCACAACTGTCTGTAACTCCAGTTCCATGGCATCCAACACCATCTTTCTGGCCTCTGCGGGCACCAGGCACACATGTGGTATACAGATACACATGGAGACAAGACACCCATACACATATAATAAATAAATCTTGGAAAACAATCACTTGATTAATTTTTTCTTGTATTTATTTATTTTCGAGACAGTTTCTCTATGTACCTCCAGCCCTCTTGGAATTAGCTTTGTAGACCAGGCTGGCCTTGAACTCACAGAAATCTGCCTGCCGCTGCCTCCTGAGTGCTGGGATTAAAGACTTGCACCACTGGCTTCTTAACACAAAAGCAACAATGGTTACACAGAAGGAGCTCTTCCTCCCTTTCTCCTTCCTTCCCTCCTTCCCCTCCACTCTCTTCCCCTCCACTCTCTTCCCCTCCTTCCCCTCCCCTCTCCGTCCTTCCTTTCTTCCTTCCAGTTTGTGTGTGTGACTCTTGTGTACATGTGTGTGCAGATGTGTGTGCATGTGGATGGAGGTTATAGGTGCTGTGTAGGGGTTTCACACTGACCTGGAACTTACCAAGTAGGCTAGCTATGCAGAGAGCTCCAGACATCTCTCTGCCTTCCTCAAAATTATAAGTGCAGTTCACCATACTTAGCTTTTTTAAAAAACGTGGGCTCTGGGCATTAAATTTGGGTCCTCATGCTTGCAAGGTAAACATTAAACCAATTGAGCTATCTCTCTCCACTCCCCCAAAGGGCTCTTTCTGTCCCCGTTGACCTTTGAGTGGTATGGTCAGTGAGCACCAGGTAGGGTTACTCATGAGATGTGCTGAAACAAATCCTGTTGCTTCAGTGTGCTTCAGCATTCCTCCTGGGCCTCAGACCCCAGGGAGCAGGCCTCACTGATGTGTGCTTAGGAAAGACATGATCAGGACGCATGCAGACCCTCTAGACTCACCATCACAGCGTCACCGCTGCAGAAGAAATGTCTCTACAGCACAGAGATTTCAAAAACCATTATCATTTATTAATCTCTTCATCATTTCTTATTTTCTTCATGAGTTTTTACCTGTTGACAGTATAGGTGGGCTGAGCAGGGGGTCAACCCTGTGATCATGGTCTGTGGCATTGGCATGGAAGACTCACAGCCTGAAGCCTGGCATCTCCTGGAAATCCACTCGCTTCAATCCTAGCTGTGATGTGATACAGGCTGTGAGCTAGAGGCCATTCTGTCTCCATCAGCCATGTTTACACTGGACCTTACACTGTGGCCCAAGAGTCCTCCTAGCACGGTGGACAGAGACAGAAGGAACACCGCAACAGAAGCCACTCCCAGTTTCTTCTACTGCCTTGGTCATTGTGGTTACAAAGATCAAGGTTCAAGGAGAAGGAACGCTGACGTCACTCCCCCTTCTGTGTTATTTTTAAAAATAGTATTTTTTCTTTGAAAGTTTCATATGTTTATACAGTGCATATTAATCATATCCATTCATTAACCACTACCCCTCTAGCTCCCCCTAGTTCCCTCATCCCATCTCCCTCCCAACTTCACATCTTTTATTTTTAACTTGTGTTGACATCACTTCTTTTCATTTTTGATTTTATGTAATGTGTGTTTTGCCTGCACCCATATTGTGTACCTCATGTATAGCTGGTGCCTGCAGAGGTCGTAAGAGAGCATCAGGTCCCCCAGAACTGGAGTTACAGATGGTTTCGAGCTGCAATGTAGGTTCTGGGAATTGAACTAGAGACCTCTACAAGAGCAGCCACTGCTCTTAGCCACTGAATTAGCTTTCCAGCCCCTTGACTCCAATTTTTTGAAAATGTTCTCTCTACATAGGCCTGACTGTTTAGGAACTCACTATCCACATTAGGTCAGCCTCAAACTCACAGAGATCCACCTGCCTCTGCCTCCCAAATACTGGGATCCAAGGGTTTTACCACCACATGGATAAATCTGCTTTTGTTTGTTTAGTTTTGCCTTTTGAAACAGGGTCTCATTATGTATCTCTGGCTGTTCTGGAACTTTATTTTTTAATGTGGGCTCTGGAGATTTGAACTTAGGTTCTCATGCTTGCACATCAAGTGCTCTTACCCCCAACCCAGCCTGCCAGCCCTTGGTACCATTTCTTAATGGTGTAATATCAACTACACACTGTAATGTAAGAGCACTGATAACAAATACTCCCAACTATTTTTTGTTTTGAAATGACAAATCTGCTTTGTTAATTTTTGAGAAAATTTCTGCCAAGTATCCAAGTCTGGGAAAGCAGCATGTTAGCGATTTTCAGTAAAACTGATGTTTCATAAGATGTGGATAGTTTGGGTTGGGGAGATGGCAAAGTGCTTCCTGTGCAAATATGGGGGCCTGAGTTTGATCCCCATCACTGAATGTGGGTGGCATGTGCTTGTAATCCCAGCACTGGGGACGGGTGGGATATAGGAGGATCCAGAGTCCCCATTGGCCAGTCAGCCTAGCCTAATTGGTAAGCCCTGGCTTCAAGGGTCTCTGTGGCCTTCAGTAAGAATACACATCAGTGTGAAACTCAGTAGCCGGTATTGGTTCAAACTTCAAAAGTCTGACCCCTAGTGGTTTATTTTAGGTTTACTTAAGCACAGCAAAACTATTCTTGTGTTGATTAACTCAATCCCACATGTGGTGGTTTGAAAGACAATGTTCCTAAAGAGAGTGGCACTATTAGAGGGTGTGGCCTTGTTGCAGTAGGTGTGATCTTGTTGGAGGAAGTGTGTCACTGTGGAGGTGGGCTTCTAGGTCTCATGTATGCTCAAGCCATAACCAGTGAGACAGTCTATTTCCTGTTGCTTGCATATCAAGATGTAGCCAGCACCACGTCTGCCTGCATGCTGCCGTGCTTCCCGATGATGGTGGGCTGAATCTCTGAAACTGTAAGCCACCCCAATTGCATGTTTTTTCTTTATAAGAGTTGCCATGGTCATGGTGCCTCTTCACAGCAATAGTCACCCTAACTAGGACACCCACATGCACAACAAAGCATACCTAAATCTCTTTGAGGAACAAAGTAAGCTAGATACAGATCAGACACGACTTTTTGTGTAGCACATGTGGCACTTTCTATCAAGATAGGTTGTATAGATTGCCTGGTTTATAGAAAAGCAGGTTTATGAGAAGAGTCTGGAGCAGGGTCCAGTGCTGAAAAGTCTCCAGTCCCACAGTTGCACAAAAGTCAGCAAGTTAAAAAGCACATCAGGGCAGAAAACAGGTCTTGTATTCCTTCCTTGAAGGAATGACCCTGTGTGTTTAACATTCCGGTTCCCCTAGTGCATTTCTGTGAGCACGAAGACATCCATGCTCCATACATCTCCCCACTGCTTGTGTTGTAAAGAGAAAATTGTGGCTTCAATAGAGGTCAAAGTTACTGTGTTGTTTGCATGATTAGTTAATATAGGCAAGCAAAGCAGAGTTATAAGAATAGCTAGCTAGCAGAGATCCAAGGAAAGGGGAAAGCCATTTTAGCCATGATGTGTATTCAAAGGTCACCCTGAGGAATTTTGTTTTCTCCTTATGCAGATGATCAATTTGGCTATCCATAGTATGAGAGAACTCTGACACAGTAAAGCAACACAAGCCAGAAAACTGTTGATAGCCAAGATTATGCTTGAGCAACAAATAATTTACTTTATTTGTAAAACTTCGGTTCTCAATTCCCATCTCTTGGTTAACTTCTGCTAATATTTTTGCTCTAATATTAGTAGTTTTGCTAATCTTACAGGCCATTTTTGAAATTTCTTTGTATTCCAGAAATCACTCTTAGGATTGGTAATAAAAAACCCATTGTGGTGGCAACCATTATAGTGTAGATACTAAAAATTATCACAGTCCCATGGAAACCTTTATAACCTGCAGGAAGAGAGGTGTAAACATTTTCACACACAATAAAAGGTCCATCCAAAGGCAGCTGTTTAGCAGAGAGAAGGACATGACTAGAAAAGTAATTACAATAAGGAGGGATAGAAGTATATCTGAAGCATAAATAATGTCATAAAAAAGCAT